CCCGGGGTCGTGTAAAGAGGGCCTTACGCTACGTCATTCGCCACTTAAAAGCGAGAGGAAATTTGGAGCGAGTCTCAACTCGCGGTACCCTGTGGGAACGTTACTGCGAACAAAGCAAAGGACTAGAAGTCGAACTGTCCCCAGTAACGATCCCACAAGGCACCGCGAGATGAGACTCGCCCCAACATTCTTTGCGTTCCAAAACTGATGCCCGTGTAATGTAGTAATAGGTCTCAGAGTAGATAAAAATACATTACTCTTCCAAAATATGGTGATTTTCTTGACAATGTACTGATATTATCGAAGTAGCACGATACATTATATTAATTTATATTATCTTCAAGCCGAGAAGGTCCTCAACAAAAACTACAAATAGGTAAAATTTAATAGAGCAGAAAAAAGGATTTTTTTTTCCACAAAGCGCCTTCCGTATCTTTTAGCTCTCAAACAAACCAACAGCATTGAAGAATACGAATAGATCTTAACAAAATTGAAAACCCAACAAAGTGTTGTGGGAAGGGTCTGCTTGATATGAATACACAAGTACTATCGACTCCTCCGCGCTATATACACTCTAAGAGATTCAGTCCTTGATGGCGAATTATTATAACTGTAAATCTCGCTCGAAAAATTTAGCTTGAAAACTTAGTTTGCCACAACTAAACCGAAACCGTTGAAAAGCGTACAAAATTTAGGATTGAAACTAACCAATCAACAAATGTCCAGTTCGAGTAATCGCATTGTAACAAAGTGCTGAACAAAAAGCAACTGGACTCACCCGTAAAAACGAACAAAATCAAAACCATCATGAAAGTGTAGCCGAAGTACAGAATGATCGAGGCTGTTTCTGTGATTGCCAGTTTGGAGAAGAAGAAGAAAGTAGAGTGCGCAAACATATACAGCGCTACAAGGCCTCCTTTCAGAAACGACGACCACCACCAGCGATAATCCTAATAAAACAAACAAACAAACAAAAATAAACAACATCTAGAACTGTGCAGTAATGTAGCAAATTAGAAAATGTGATGCGAGGTTTCCCCTACAACCATAATTAATTATAAAATATCTTGTAAAGGTTGGATAAACCCTACTCCGTGACCATCAAATGAAAGCTATTGCGCAGTACTTTCATGTGGTACTGTTTATTATACTGCTTTTTAGTGTGTTGGTGAAACCCTAGTGTGTGACTATTCAAATGAAAGCTATTGAGCAGTACTTTCATGTGGTACTGTTTATTATACTGCTTTTTAGTGTGTTGGTGAAACCCTAGTGTGTGACTATTCAAATGAAAGCTATTGAGCAGTACTTTCATGTGGTACTGTTTATCATACTGCTTTTTAGCGTGTTGGTGTAACCCTAATGTGTGACCATTCAAATGAAAGCTATTGAGCAGTATTGGCACGTGGAACTGTTTATTATGTTGTACAAAGTGGTTCAAACTTTTGAGTCTGTGGATGACACCCTAGTGTGCGACCATTCAAATGAAAGCTTTCGAGTAGTACTTTCATGTGGTACTGTTTGCTATACTGTATAAGGTGGTTCTAACTTTTTATTGTGTGAATGAAACCCTAGTGTGTGACCATTCAAATGAAAGCTATTGAGCAGTACTTTAATGTGGTTATGTTTATAATGCTGTACAAGGTGGTTCTAACTTTCGAGGCTATTGATTAAACCCTAGTGCATGTGTGAGTGGCACAACCCTTAATTTGAAAGGGATCGCATTCGAATTTATTACCACCAACATTCGTCACATAGCGTAATATTCCACTAAAAAGCTCACACTACCGGAAAATCAGCGCAACCGAAAATAATCCCTCTCTGGATCCCAATTCAGAGACGCAAAAATGCTTGCAATAACAAACCCTGCTGAGATTAGCCCTTTTTTTTTTTTTTTCGAGTGGTATAATGTGAAATATCCCACGAGTCACTTGTATTTTCTCGATATGCACACGAGCCTTTAGGCGAATGTGTATAGGCCATACCGAAATTGCGCAGGGAACTGGGGCGAGTTTCAAATTTTAACCAATCGATAAACTGACACCACCACATGAAAGATCACGTTGAGAGTAGTCATTTGACCAAGTATGATGCTTTTAAGGTAAACAGAGACCAAGTTATGGACCTTGAAACATGGTTCAAAATCCAAACAAACATCTCTAATGTTGAGACAGTGTCCCCCCAAACCATATGAACTCTTCAATTTTTTTATCAGCTTTGTGACAACTGTAAAATCCCGTCATTCACTAGTCTCCTCCGCAGCCGTTTTTCGGAATGTCACGCAACGCTCCGTTGCGTGACATCCCAAAGAAACGGCTGCGGAGGAGACTAGTCATTTACCTACCATTTGAAAGAAGCTGAGATGAAAATCACGTATGTTTGCCCATTTTTAAGAGTATCATAGAAATCATACACCAAGAAAATACCAGTGACAAGACGGATATTCCATGGTATACCACGAGAGAGCATTGCAACTATTCATACCATGCCATAGAAATTATAGTAGCTAACACATGATGTCGCATGATGGGAAGGTTCGAAGTAATACCGTTGAATATACGACGGTTTTCCTGTCTTCTGATTGGCTGTATTTTCTAAGGCATGGTATAAAAAAGCATTAATACAACGTCTTTCATTACAAAGCCCCTTACTTTTGTAGTTGCTTTGCATGTTCACCTGACGATTGCAATGCTTGTTTTGCGCTCCATGTCGAAAATCGGCTCACCGAAAAAGCGATAGGAATTTCACGGTATGGAAAAGCTTCTTTGTCCTATTAAAGAGCTCGGGCAGTCCTTATTCCCTTTTACTTCCCCTACCTCAGTACGAAGACAGTTGTAGCAAAACAGCACCGAAGTCTCTGCTACGGCCACGAGGAGAAGTAAGAACGCCGCAAATAGGAAGCCAAATGTATAGTATACCGTATGAAACCTACGTGAGTTGAAAACGACATTAAAATCAAAAACATTACGTTCGGATAAGTACATTATTATATTATGAAATGTTTAACTTTATTTCTTGCAACCTGTTTCTATTTAAAATGATCGAAATCTTTGTACTGCGAGAAGGATTTTACGCATGAAAGACCATCAAAGTTATGTCTAGGGGGAAGGGGAACTGCCATGTGAAAAGGTCAGGGTTGGCTTAGGGGTGTAAATCACGGACTTTGGTGTCACTTACACTGATCAGGACGAAACACCCCTATTTTTAGCCGTCAAGGTATCTTTTAGTGTTGCTCTCGAAGAAATATTAAAAAACGCTGTCTGCCCATTTTAAAGTGTTATCTTTTAGGGGCCAAAAAAAGCTCGAGCCACGTCAAGATTAGTCTCCCTTAGGGGAGAATAATGTTTCCGACGAGCGTCCCCGACCTTTTCACACTGGAATCCCCATTCCCTGGTAGTTACGTCCGCAGTTTACGCGCAGCTCAGTTTAAGGGTAACTTCAAGCTTCAGCTTTGCAACTGAGTACCTAATTGCAGCGATCTCACAGTTATTTCATATCTTTGCTTACTTTTACCTCCGACAGGTATCTTCGACCTTAATTAATTAATTAATTAATTGATTTTTAAAAATGATTAATAAATGGAAACACGAAACCACCTCATCTATAAATTAAAGTCATTGACCTCTGTTCGACCTCCGTGATTCCTTATTTAATAGCAACGCTCGGTATATTTACATACCAAAGACTGTCTAATATGAGGGCGTACGGAATGAAAATGCTGCCAAATGCGAGTATAAACGTGCAGAGAAATATTGTGATGGCCCTCGTGCAAAGTTTCTACAATGAAAATACATGCAACCATAAGTACTTCTCATCAATCTGGGGAGTAGGGAAGGGGGTAGGGGTATGTACTGCTGTGAAGGGTATGGTTTTCAGGCAGTCTAGTCTGGGATAGCGTATAGAAAATCAGACAGCTTTGGCCTGGAGTGGGGTATAATTTACCGGGAAAGTAGCCATTGTATAAATTTAGTGTAGAACAGGGTTCTTTATCCGGGGTCCTAAAATAGACATTGAAACTCGGAAGCGATTTTGTAAGATATTGGTTTAGTTCTGAGCGTATGTTGGACTACGATAGTGATAAAGTTCCCGCATTGAAAATAGCTAGTCTAAGATAGGATAGGGGCTTTTGGTGCCTAGCTAGTCTAGAATAGGGATTAAGGTTGCAAAATCAAGCTGATCATGGTCTAGAGCTTTCGCTGTCCCAACGGCAAACCCCTAACCAAAGATTTACAAAGTACCCCCTGATCAGTTAGCTGACTAATGTGACATAAGAAGTTAAATTACTCAGGAGAAAAGTATACGTAAATGTTGGATTCAAGTCTTTTTGCTTACGAGATGTTTCACTAACGGCAAGGTAATCCAGAGTCCACCATACTAACCATCAGGTCAACTCTCACAAGCGTTTTGAAGGACCTACTACTTACGATACATTTCACTCGCACAGTGTAAGAACAAGTAAGTGTTTCGGTGTTTGGTTGCTGATTAGAATTTTTCATGAAAGTAATCCCTTATGGTTTCTCAGTTATGACTGTTAGTTTAAGACAAACTGGTTTAACATGACACACAGTACTTGTCTGGGAATGGGCCTGGGTACTTTGTTGACTTCACATGGATTCTCAATGGCCTAAAAAAAAAGTATAATTAAAAAAGATACAAGTAACATGTTTAGTTGGGCTTTCTGGCAGGTTCAGCTTAATAATGATTATAAGGTATTTTACTAGCAGGTAATGTAACTTTATTCGTGGTTGTTGCATTCCAACCCATGCAACAATAATATGTAATTTAATATATTCTAGAGGGTCCAAGCATATTGGCACTTCTGATGTGCCCTCTGATTACTGTAAACGTCAAAGTTTTTTTTCTTAAACTAGGTAACATAACTTAGCATTTCTTACCTTCTTTTGATGTCCAAGATAAGCTCCTAAGAAAGTAAGAGGAACCAATATACCAACCCTGTTGATAAGAATAATAATAATAAGACTTGATAAAATCCTACTTATCTTCTGCATGTCCATCATGCCAGGAAAGAATTTTGTACACACTGCATGCCTACGATACAAGGTAATTTCGAATACCATTTTTACGATGATGTTAGATGTTATCCGTAGTTTTAAAAGGGTTTCTGTTAAGAACGAGATAGACATGTTGAACTATGACAGCTCTCTCAACCATAATTTTATGTGGCCATCAGTATGTTGACACATTTTTTTTGCATCCTCCACCAACTACAAATGTCTTAATTTGTTTCAGTCATGGTGTCAACATGTTCATGTCTGCATTCTGTACAGATCACATGATATGGTACGTCAAAATCTTTTCATCCCACGTCCATGACGAGAAATGCGGGGGTGGGGGGGAGTGAATAGTCAAGATCCATCAGTTGAAATTCAGAACGTAATCTTCTTGTGTTCTGTACAGACTGTAGATATTATTCAGGGCACCTTTAGCAGACAATATCGGCAACACTTATGGTTGTCTTCAGTTCTCTAAACTTTAAAAGACTGCTTTTGTTGTTCCCCATGCAACAGTTGTTATTCAGCACTGTGTAACTGAACTTACCACATGACCAGAAGAGTGGCTAGCGTTGTAAATGGGACTGCAGATGATGAATGTTTGCCCAACAGAACAAGATTTAAAATCAGGAACACGCCAAATAGCAACCTTAAATTTGATGATCACATGCTTTAGTCTATTGCAGTGACATTGTCCTATTACGTCGAATGGTCAGTTGCTTGTTAAAGCATTTAACAAGAAATATAAGGAGTAACGTAATTCGACGCTTCGATGTATCCAACACCATTATCAAGAATAAAAATCGTTGAATGTCAAAGTTGTAGTTTAAAGTTCTTTGTAGTTTATAAGGCTTAGAGGTATCAACGTACCCCAGTGGTTGTACTTAAAGGTGACTACAGTTATACAAGCTTTGACGATTAAATAATATTATTTTCCTTGGCCTGGGGGGAGTAAATGTTTTGGTATTTTATTAGCCTAAGGTTGGTTGTTTGTTATAAAATAACAAACCCATTAGCTTCTAAAGAAACTGTTACATGTTCTCTGTCAATTGGGAGGAATCAGAACATGTAGCGACTTTTGAATGCTGATGTTTCAAGTGCTAGCCTTTTGTAGAACAAAAGTTAAAAAACTCAGATTTGAACTGGAACTCCTAAAACGTATAACGATCGCCCTCATTGCAGTCAATACATATTTAGGAGCTCCTGTAGGTATAAGTGGGGGGGAGGGGGGGNAGGGAGGGAGGGAACTAGAGCAGAATGTACCTGGACAACTAAAAACATTAAGTATGAGAACAGCTTAGACCCACCCAGGAATGAGGAATGCAGTCAACAGAACATTAGATTTCCAGGAATCACCACCAAACACTAGAAATTAAATGGAAATGATTAATTTAGTCAAGAAAATACCACTCAAACAGGAAGTGTAGCCAGCTACAGTGCACTTACAGCCTCTGACTGCATCCAATTACAGTGCTTAGTTAACGAACTTGGCGGGTACTATTCCCGCGACAACTCTGTCTGCTGCCCGTTGCACGAGGAAAAGAAGTGAAGAAAACAAAAAGAAATCGTCCGACTCCCACGAAAGCAAAATCGAAAAGTAATTTTTTCGAGTAAATTGAGTCATCATCCTCACGTGAATTGAAATGGTCATCGAGTAACTGAAAGGTAAGACTGCTCATAACGGCTAAAAGACAAACCAAGATCAACAAAACTCTTATCTAAAATCAATAATAGCACACGTCTCAGACGTTTCGTCGCCATAAAAAAGTAGATCGCTCCATCCACTTTGTCAAATAAACGTCTGGTAAGGTCTGGTAAATAAAATCGACCCATGTCAGAACCTCCTTACTTCATTTTTGCGCCTTCCGCATTTCAAATCGAACGGAAAAATAGTCGGCTAGTGGTCAATCACAAAGTAGTTTATTTCAACACAGAAATTACTCTCGATTATTCATTCCCTCCGGGACTGATCTTGGTTATCGTTTCGACAATCTCAACAAGACCTCGCCACTCTCTTCGAGATGAAGGCAGTTTCAGCGAGATTTCGGCGAGATTCTTGCAAATCTTGGCGAGATAAATACCCGGGGATAAATACCGTGGCGAGATCTCAGCAGTCTCAATGTAATGATCTCGGCAGTCTCGAGATCTGGGCGAGATGTAGGCAATCTCGGCAAGATGTTTGTGTCTTTCCTAATCTCGACGAGATCTCGACGAGATCTTGCCGAGATTTAGAAAGACACAAACATCACGTCGAGATCTTAACAATCCTGGCGAGATCTCGTCATTCTTGGCGACATGTAGGAACCTCGCCTAAATTTGGGGAGACACAAACACGGCAAAATCTCCGCAATCTCGGCAAGATCTCGGAATATTACACCAAAGAGCCATATTATTGAATGTTACACCCAAAGAGCCGAAAATCTCACCAATCACAAGTCTCTAGTCAATTTATGCCTACATGTAGCATGATGCCTGATCGAGCTGTGCAAAGTCGTATGTACTGTAAGTATAAAACAATGAGGAAAAATGTAAACAATGGGCCTGACTTAAGCTACAATCGTTCAATTGACACATACTTTTGTACATTCTAGCAGAAACATAACCAGACAGAAATCCAAGACCAACAAACAGCACCTAGAGGATAAAAAAGAAGAAGACGTGGTATTCAATCAATTTTGTGTCCCTGCATAAGAATGTTAAATAAAATTTGGAGACCTCCAGGGAACTCACTATATATCATTTCAACTTTTGTTCACCTTGAAGTCATATCACTGCTAAATTAAAGGTAATTTTCAAATAATTATAACAACATTGTTGTTAAACCTTTTAGCATAATTAAAACACTCTGTAAGAAAATGTGTGCTAAAAGCTGCACTTCTATTTAGCAATTAAAGATTATGGGTTGAGATTTCTTTGGCATGATAGTTGACGAAGATGCAGCTCGAATCAGCTATCACGCATAGAAATGGAGAGCGAATAATCTAATTGTTTTAGTATAAATCTACTAGCCATTCCAAACTTTATCTAAATCCTCTTCACAGACACTTCAAAAGCACAAAAATTGGAGGGTGCAATTTTGTTAACAATTAACTGTACACTGCTGGGCTGCTCACTATCCACAGCAGAATACATATTGAGTAGCATAGCCAATCAGAGAACGACATTCGTGTTAAAACGCTAGTAGATTTATACTAAACTTGATAGAAAGATGAAATATGTTTTTTATTTCCTACACAGAAACAGTTCAACAGCATTGGGCAAGTAAGCTTGCTAAAAGAAAAATTACCAGAGCAAATGTCAAGAAGACTCCGCGGTTTGGAGGGCACAGTATTCCTACACATGCAAACACTGCAAAAGATACATTAAAAGCGGCATAAATTCCCATTTCTATTATGCCTCTTTTTAGTTTGATTGGACAGTCATTACTTAGTTAAGATGGTAATTTAACATTGAAAACTTTAACATTTTAGATGATCTAGGGATAACTGTACAATATTTTAAAGTAGCATTCAACCATGCAGAGAATGCAAATTTTTATGCAAATGTTGTTATCTCAATCCGCATACACACAAAAAATCTTCTCGAATCTGTGATAATTATATCCACATTCTATCATACATGTAGGTAAAAAGGTAAAGTCTCCATACGAGTCAAGTGGCCCATCAGGCCGGCACTTGTCCCCGGTTTCAGTAGCATAGAGAGACTGGGAGTATTTCTGCTCTCCCCTGGATGGGATGCTAATCCATCATCATACATGAACATGCATGTAACTAGTACAGATAACAGCATGCTGAAATGCAAAGGCGTCGTCTTCTAGAACACCAGACTGTTCTATAATTTATTGTACATGTGGGTGATGACTTGCGGCTTCTAGTTTAATGACGTTGCATCCGATAGGCCATATTCGTATTCTCGGTATTGGACTGGAACTGGCTTGGAATAGAGGCTCATGTGGGGGAATATCATTAAGAGGAGATTAATGCAATCTGCATTTGAAAAGATCCTCTGCATTTAATATCCTCAGTTGCAAGCTAGTTCCAGTCGAATAAATACCAAGAATACATATAGGGCCTTTTAAAGTGACAAAAGCCTCTAAAAAGGTTTTACCACTCATGGTTAATCTTGCACCAAGATCTCACTCTGTTTGATCTGAGATTTGGGTTCGAGGTTAACGCACGGTTTATCATATGCAAGAGCTTTTCTTGAGGGCGGGGCACCAGGCAAATTGCCCAGTTGTGAGAACAATTTTGCCAGCCTGGTTTGACCATCTAGAGAAAAGTTTTTCTTATAAAGAACTTCAGTTCAAATAACTTGCCCGCCTGTGAAAACCAGTTGTGCTCCTGCCGAAAAAGTTAATGAAAACACTGTATATGTCAAAGGAGTTTCAGTTTTAGTTTTTTATTAAGCTAAGACACGGGAAGGAAAAGGACGACCTCAAGAAGGCAAGAAGGCACTTTGACCTCAAGAAGGCACTTTGAATTATAATACCTAATGTTCCAAATATGGTGAGAGTGATCTGGCAACCAGAGCCCAATACAGCACACAGTAGCATGGGCTTTTCAGGAGGACGGAATACATCCCCATAAAGTGCCTTCCAACCAAACAGTGCAAAAAAGTCATCCTTTAAAGAAAAAAAGCACATGTTAGATCATTAATAATCATTTTAGTTTACAACACCACATTTGAAGACGAATAGACTGACATAAAGGCAATCCGCAAACGTTCACGCCAAACAGCCTTTCAGGCCAGCATTTATCTCCAGTTTAATGAATTAATAATAATAAACAATTATTGGATAAGGTTTTTGTGGTATCCAGAATAATCAAGGTCAAGGTAGGGGTTATTAGCCGAAGCCAAAGGCTGATGCTGATAACCCTTACCGAGACCTTGATTATTCTGGATATCACAAAAACCGAATCTAATAATTGTTTTATTATACATTGAACGAAAAAACAAAAATGGAAGTCATGTTTTTGCTTCTTCGCTGACAGCAAGCAACAAAAAGCACATGAACTTGACATGATTACCCTGAGAAATCACATCCCGCAGTCGTACATGACATGATTACCCATGACCTTGAGTGTCCTTGACATGATTATTGTATAATCTGCAGCTAAAAGACGTCACAAGCGCTGATTTCGAAAATTCACTGTACACTTTTGGCCAATCAGAAAAGAGATAGTGAGTTCAACGCATAATAAATAATGATGA